GTTTCAGGGAAGTCTCTCTCTGACTCAGCCCTTCACTAATGAAGCAACCAGGGAGCTAACCTCACTTTCACCTGTATTTAATATTCTCAGACAAAACCTCCCCTGTGTTCTCCATCTCATCTAATGTTCGAGTGAAGCAAAAGGGCTCCTGAGCAATCCTCCCTCCCCCAATGCTACTGGTCTTTCTTCACACATCTGTTTATTTCTGAATGGTGCTTTATACATATACATGAAGGTGGAATTCATGGTGGTATAGTTACACAAGTGCATAGTGCAGTTTTCTTAAACTCACTCCATATTTGTCCCTGTTCCTGCCCTCCCCCTTCCTTGATCTCCTCCTTTTACTCAATGGAAACTCCCTGTATGACATCTGATCTACCAAACCATTTTTTCCTTGTATTCTGCTATAACATCAGCATGAGAGAAAACATTTGACCCTTGATTTTCTGAGTCTGGCTTATTTCACTTAGCATGATGTTCTCAAGTTCCATCCTTTTACTGACAAATGCCATATTTTCATTCTTCTTTATGACTGAGTAAAATTCCATTGCATATACATACCACATTGTTTAAATCCATTTATCTACTGATGGGAATCTGGCCTGATTACACAATTTGGTTATTGTGGATTGTTCTGCTATAAACACCAATGTAGCTCTAGCACTATATTATGCTGATTTTAGGCATTTTGAATAAACACTAAGGTAGGAGAATTGAGTTATATATGGTGGTTCCATTCCTAGTTTTATAGGAGTCTCCATCCTGCTTTCCAGAATGATTGTCCTAATTTGAAGTTCCACTAACACACTATAAGCGTACCTTTTCCCCTACATCCTCACCAGCGTTATTATTTGTGTCTCTTGATAACTGCCTTTCTGACTGGAGTGAGATGAACTCTTAGTGTGATTTACATTTCCCTTTTTACTAGACATGTTGAACATTTTCTCATATATTGAGAAATATCTATTTAGTTCTTTTGTCCATATATTAATTGAGGTATTTGATTTTGTGGTGTTAAGTTTTTTGAGTTGTTTATGTATTCTGGATATTAATTCCCTGTGTCAGAGAAGTAGCTGGCAAAGATTTTCTGCCTTCTGTAGGCTTTTAATTTCATGCCATTCCACTTATTGATTCTTGGTTTTATTTCTTGAGCTTTAGGGTCTTGTTAAGGAAATCAGTGCTTGCATCAATATGATGGTGTGCTGACTGTATGGTTTCTTCTAGCAGTTGCAAGGTTTCCGGTCTAATTCTTAAAATGTTAGATTTACTTTGATTTGATTTTCCTACAAGGTGAGAGAGAAGAATCTAGTTTCATTCTTTTAATATGAATATGCAGTTTTCCCATCACCATTGTTTTAAAAGGCTATCTTTCTGCAACATATTTTTGTACCTTTGTCACGTATCTCATGACTGTAAGAATGTGTGTTTGTCTTTGTGTCTTTTATTTTGTCCCACTAGTCTTCAGTGATGCCAATACCGTACTTTTTTTTTAAATTATGATAGCTCTGCAGTATCATTTTAAGTCAAGTATTCTGCTGCCTCCTGCATCATTCTTTTTTCTCAAGACTGCTCTGGCTAGTATGGGTGGCAAACTTCCAAATGAATCTTAGGACTGTCCCCCCCCCCATATCTGTGAAGAATATTGGTAATTTGAAGGGGACTACATTGAATCTGTATATTGCTTTTGATAGTACAGACATTTTGACAGTATTAACTCTACCTATCCAAGAACATGGGATGTCTTCCCATGTTCTTAGGTCTTTTTCAATTTTTTTCTTCAATGTCATATTATTTTCATTGTAGAGATACTTTATCTCCTTGGTTAGATTTATTCCCGAGTATTTTATTTATTGGTTATTTTTAATGGAATGGTTTTCCTGATTTCTTTCTCACCAGAAATCACTTTTGAAAGAAAAGCTATTAATTTATGAAATTTATATTCTGCTACTCTGCTGAATTCATCATCTTATGGTAGAGCTTTTTGATCATGCCATCATCAAATAAAGATAATTTGACTTCTTTTTCTACTTGAATCCCATTAATTTCCTTCGCTTTCCTGATTGCACTGGCTACAGTTTCAAGAACTATATTGAATAGGAGTGGTGAGAGTGGACAGCCTTGCCTTGTTCCCAATTTTGAAGGAAACCTTTGTTTATCTCTGTTCAGTATGATAGCTTCAGGTTTGTCACATACAGACTTTATAATGTTGAGGTAGTTTCTCCAACATTTTTACCATGAATGAATGCTGAATTTGATCAAAGGCCTTTTCTGAACTTACTGAGATGATCATATGATTCTTGTCCTAAATTCTATGTATTCTATCAGTCCTGGAGGGCAGATGCCCTGACTGCATCTTCTCAACAGACTGGATGGGCTATTGAGTTCCCTTAGTTACCTGCTTCACTGATGATCAGTCTTCCCACTTGTTAAATCTGGAGCCAAGGAAATGCTGGGAAGTGCACCCTTCCTCTAATCTACCATCTTCCTCCATATTTTCCATTCCTGAGTTTTCTGTTTGTCTTCTGCGGGGTTTCTCTGGTGGTATTGGGGACAGAGCCCAGGATCTTACACATGGGAGGCAACCACTCTACCACTGAGCTGCATCTCCTGGGTTTTTTAAATTGTATGTTTAGATAGACTGAGGTACCCATGCTGGCCTCGTACTAGCAATCCTCCTGCCTTGGCCTCTCAAATCGTTTGGATTGATGATGCGTCATCATCTCTATAATTCTGGAGCTTTGTTAATTCTCAACTTACAGTACTCTTTCCTGTCCACAATTGTTTGGTTAGCAGCTTTTAGGTGAGATTCACTGCCCTGTCAAGAGTTCTTTTGCTTTGAGGATCTTCCTTTGCTGGATTTTGGAGGATTTTTATTAACCAAAAAGTTTTGAATTCCACTCTATCTTGAACTTTAATTGGTACGCTGGACCTTCATTGGTAATGAGTCTGGCTTTGTTCACCCATCTATAACAGGGGATGTACTCCAGTTAGAGATAAAACCTGCTCTCATCAAGCAAGCCTTCTGTCCCACTTCAGTGAATCACAGGGCAATGTTTTAGGATGGTGTGGGGCAGACTCTAAGTGCCATTATCCTGTTTCAGAAAGGCCAATTTCATGTTTTTCTTCTTCACCATGCATCTTGGAGGCACCAGCACTTTATGGGTAGCCCTTTTGCACCCCAGATTTTCCAAATTGTACCTTATGACTTGCACTTTTTCCAAAAGTGCCCTCATCTTCAGGCAGTGGCAATCACCAAATCCATAGGCAGGGGCATCGTGCCATACAGAAATCCTGCCTCTTCTGGAATCAGAAGCTCAATGATGACAGTGTTCTGGAACAATCTCCCTTCTTTGTAACATCTTGGCTCTGGAGCAGACACGCTATTTTTTGTTATACTCCCTGACACTTGCAAGAAGCTGAAGCATGTGGTATTTTATATAATATTTTATGCAGCACACATGAGTTGCAGGTGCAGAAGACTCTATCTGTCATGGGAGTTGGCCTGTGGTACTGGATGGCTCCACTATCTTATGGACATAGAAAGTTTTAAAGGAATCTTTTAAAGTGCCTAGTGTTACCATTTCTCTTCTAAGCTGAAGATCCTTCCGGTGGAGCTCACCAACTTTCCACCCAGGCTTCCCACAAATGGTACACTCTCCCCAATTCTGAACTGTCTGCTCTTGCTGTCAGCCCTTGAAGTACTTTTACAAGGCCTAAAACATATATCCAGCTTTTCAGAAGTCATAAACAATACAAACCAGCATGAAGAGGAGGACGAGCAAAGCAAAGGAGGACAGTGCACCATGCTCCCAGTTCTTAACTGTAGGGACACTCATCTCTTCTGATTTGTTGCTTTTGAGCATCTTTCTCATACGCTCAATTTTGTTTTAAAAGTGTGTGCTTTCTTTTCTTTTCTTTTTTTTTTTTTTGTTTTTAAAGACAGAGAGAGAGAGAGCGAGAGAGAGATGAGAGAGAGAGATGAGAGAGAGAGAGAGAGAGAGAGAGAGAATGAATTTTAATAGTTTTTGGCGGACACAACATCTTTGTTTGTATGTGGTGCTGAGGATTGAACCCAGGCTGCACGCATGCCAGGCAAACGCGCTACCGCTTGAGCCACATCCCCAGCCCTAAAAGTGTGTGCTTTCTTCACAGTAAGTATGTTCATACAAGTCCAAAAAGATCTCAGCGTAGTTCAGAACTGGTGCTCTGATCCTGTTGACCTGGACAAGCTTGTTCCCTGTGTCCATGTTCCAAGAGCATCTTGTGCAGACCTATCTAAAAAAGGCATAACGGGCAGCTGCAGAGCAATGCTCATCCCCAGTCTCTGACAGCATCATGGTGTCCTCATTTTGCATCCACACAGCTGTTCATCAACTGTCACATACTATGAGCTCCTTAAGTGCTTCTGAAATGATGATGATTACTTGCTGAGCCTCGTCATGTCTGATCAAGACTGAAACAAAGGTGACTGAGCCAATAAAAATCTTTTATACGCTGTKAAAATCAGTAACCGTCAGTCCTTCAAACCCCAGCAGTCAGGGGAAAGAGGACTTAAAGATTTACCAACACTGTATTTTGGAATAAAATAAAAGTTGAATAAAATACTCTTATGCATGTAAAGAAAAAGACACATCTGCATACACACATATCCACACATACATATGTACTTATCTGAAAAACAGAAATCTAGATATTATGTGGCTACCATAATTAACTCAAAGAGTTAAATCATACCATCTTACTGACTCATATTTTAGAGAAGAAGGATGTTATCTACACTAAATATGCTAAAAATATTAGAAAACTGTACTGAACTTATCCCATAGACATGTAAATGACATGGGAACATCTAAGAATCTGACAATTCTACAAACTTTCCCTCTTTAGTTCACAGCTTTCATGTGAATTTACTCTTCATCGAATTACTCTCTCAAAAGGAAGATCTACTACCTTTCAACTTATACAAACAATATTTGTAATGAACAAAAGATTCAACTTACCCTGGTAAAGGTTCCTTCAAAACTATGAATATCCAGTTGGGGCTTCTGAGCATAAACATAAGCCCTGATAGAAAAAAGGTCCTGGAATATAGAACATGTGTATTAATTTCAATGTTATAATTAAATAAAATGACATGGAAAATTTTCATTTGCTAATTAAATTCTTCTTTATGCTCTGTGCTACAAGTGATTCTTAGATCCTGTTTGCCAGCACTCTGAATTAGGATRGAAGGTAACAACAAAGCAGTGCTAAAGCTCAACAGAAACGGTCACTTCTCTTCCCTCCGAGAAATGCGCAGTGTGTATCAGAACCACCTGGGAGAAGCTGGGAAAGCACACATTGCCTGGGGCTGTTCACAGGATTTCAATCTCAAGGTAGAGCCTGAAGGCACAATGGTACCCCACAATCCCACCTCATCCTTGGCTCACTGTCCCTGAAGGACAGGCCTGACAGCATGGAAGCCCTTTTGCCCAGGGAACACGAGCTGGGAAATCAAGAAGAAGGACAGATTCACAGTCAGTCCTAGACATGGAAAAGTATAGACTTCAGACCCCTCTGTGATGCACAATTTTGGAACCAGCACCAATGCCCAGGGCTCATTCTCTAAGGGATAACATCTGAACTTAAGCTGCTTGTGGTCAGTCTATGCCCCTGCTGTGGAGGACAACTGCACAAAAAAATCTGTTCCCACCCAGAGCTGTACATCAGGCAGGCACACAACCTCGAAGCCTTGGGAGGGTCCCATTCTTTCCTGTGACTTGAGACGCCTCCCCAGGGGTATTTCCATGCTGTGTAGTGTGCTCTCTCTGTTCCAACAGCTGCAGCTCACAGCAGATGTCTAAGAACCTGAGTCCACTCCCCTCACCTGTTACTGCATGCACACCTTAGAAAGGCAGGAAATGCAGAGAGTGCTGGTGCCCAGACACCAAATCATCTTTTCTAGGCCTCTCCCCAACAGATGATTAGGACAAAAGATGGTATTACACAGTCATTCTCAAAATGATTGAAAATTAATAATTCCTCTTGAGAAACTGTTAAGCATGATATGTCTTTATGGTTAGGCTGTATAAAAAAAAAATGTTTTCCTTTTTCTAAAAAAGACTGTGTCCCTCTTGAATACAATCCCAGGTAAAAGGTCTGGGGAAGCATAGGAAACGTTMAAGTCAAGATGGTCAAATGAAATACCACAACTTTGTCTTTTTTGTTTTTTAGTATTTAACTTTTTAGTTGTAGGTGGACATAATACCTTTATTTTATTTGTATGTGGTGCTGAGGATTGAACCCAGTGCCTCACGCGTGCTAGATGAGCAGTCTTCCTCTGAGCCACAACCCAAACCCTATATGACAACTTTGTGACAATAAAACTCCAACACCTAGGAATGTAGAGGTAGGGAGAGGATGAGGGGCTGGAAGGACCTTAGATCTCAAAACTGTCTGGAAGCTTCCCCTCTTGCTGCCTTGGCAAGCTTCTGCAAGTGAGTAAGCTCCAATGGGCCACAGAGCCTACAGTCCCTACGTGACAGTATAGAACTCCTCAGATGAGTTCTGTGGCAGGTAGACCAGCTTTGTTTAACTGGCCACAGGGAGCAGCATCTTGAGGAAACTGAGTACACTGCCAGYGGGGTGGGTGTTGTGTGGGAGACTTCACATAGCCTCCTGAGGGGCCTGGTCCTCAGAAGGACCTGCATGCAAGGTGTGTTCAGGGAACAAGGGTTCAAGAGAAAGGCTCTCCACCCCTGAACTGTTCTGCAAGCAATCTGACTTCCTTCTGGTATTCCAGACTCATGGTGTGTGCCTCTGTGGCTGGCCCTTGATAAGGGGCTGAGCCATGAGTCTCTGTAGATCCCCAATAGGCGGCACTGCACACGCTGGTCACATGAACTTGTGAATGGGTCCAATGCCTGCTTTCCTCTGGACTCTCAACATGTCCCTTGTTGGATGTATCCCTGCAATACCTCACAGCCATGTGGGGGATAACTCTACCTGGTTTCTGAGAGTCCTAACGAATCATCAGAGCTAGGAGTGGTTTTGATGATCCCTGATACAARGAACTTGCCATTTTTATAAATTTGATTTCCTTTCTGAGTATGAGTAAAAAACCAGAGTTTGGAGAATAGGGTGACCAAAGCATCTGAAAAGTAAGGGTAAACTAAAGTCTGGGAGAAAGAAGCACCTCATAGAGGGGCCTGAAAATCTGTTTATAATCTTAGTCTGGCCCCTGAACAAATCATGCACAGTCCAAGTTTCAAGCAGCCCAGCTAAGGAAAAGAAGTGAACAAGGGCCTCACTCAAGCTAACCACAGTTAAACCTAACCAAACTCCAACACTCTTCAGAAGAACCCTATAGGATCCTGTGTCTCTATAATGTATCATCACTAAAGCTGAAGATACAATTCAAATTTCCAGACAGATAAAGAAGCAAAACCATAAAACTCAGCCAAAGAAAGAATGCAATGGGTGAAGACCAGTCCTGAACACACTGAGCATGAAAACCAAGAGATGAGAATTCTAAAGTAGCTTTCTAACACTTCAGACACATAAAATATGCTCCTAAAGAAAAATCACTGCAGAGAAAGAAAGAAAAGGGAAAAGAAAACTACCTGAAGAAACAATGACCTAGAATATTCCAAATCTGCTGACTGCCCAAAATGTAGATTCAAGATAAAAAAAAAATTAAAACTATCAAATTACTACAAAGACAAAGACATATGGGGAGTGAAATCCTAAAACACCTAGAAAAAAATCGACAAAATACCACTGACTTTTTACTACAAATAATCATGGCAGAAGACAACAAAACAAACTACTTTAAGTACGGATATGGGGAAAGGTCAACCCAAAATTCAAAGCCAGCAAAAGACCCTTGAAGAACATAGAAGAGATAAAGCCATTTTCAAAGGACTTAAATGAGAACTAATTTCAGTGGCTATCCACCAGCTATATATACATTGACAGAAGTTCTTCACCCTGAGGGGAGATGGCATCAGGAAATGACAACTGTCCATACAAACATCAAAAGAAAAATCCCATTTTTTCACCTAATTTCTTAAAAATACTCAATTAAAAGCTAAAGTGGAAAAAGTAGTSAAAGAAGACATGAGAGACCAAAGTTGGCTCAGGCTTCAGGGCCCAATGGGRAGGAGGGCAAGGAGAGGATCGATCAAGAAAGGAAAGATGGCAATTATTGATTAGTCAAGGTCTCTGAAAAGCGTGCCAGACAGGATCAGCACAAAGCTTTGGAAGATTCATCTTTAGACAGGAACAGGAATCATCCTTCGTTATCAGAATAGGCAAAGGAGGAAGAGAGGCAACAGGCTTTACTGGCCAAGAACTGCAGAAACTTCTGCTTGATGGAACCCTTTTCTGCACAGGCAAGACCATGTGTTGAATGACAGTGAGATGAGAAATGAAGAGGAGCCAAGTTTGAGAATGCTGTCACTGACAGGAGAAACCACAGTTACCTAGGTAGGACACATGCAGAGCGGTAAAGGTCTCTTGGGAGGATGCCAATGCTGGTCATCATAAAGCTGTTTTCCACTCTGGCCTACATTCTGAGTAATGCAGACAATGCATTTTCCATTCTTATTTAACTTTTTAATTGCAGCAGTGGTGTTTATTTCTAAGAGGTCTTATTTTTCACTTTTTCTTTTCTCATAGCTTCTATTTTGTTTAAACTGTAAGAAACTCTCAAATTTCAGCTTGAGACTGGTCTTTCCCCTTCCTGTGGATTCTACACATGCATTCCAACTATCTCCGCAGAAGGCGGAGGCAGAATGGCTGGTGGGCTTCCTCATGCTGCCCTCACAGGCACCTTTATGCTGTCTGAAACTTTCATACTGTCTTTCATTTCTAGATGACATATTGACTTCTGCTTTTCATGTTTCATTAACTTCCCACTTTCAGTGAGATGGAACATATAAATTTATGAACTGCTTAAACTTTTACTCAAAGAACAAGAGCATAGTAACTGACACTAATTTAAAAAAAAAAAAAGGCTAAAAAGAATATCCTGTTCTCATGCCAATAAAATCCTCTAAGAGAACTAACTGAATAGTTGTAGGCTACTCAATTCAATAAGCAGCATAAGAAATCAGGGACACTCGGGCTCAGCGGTAGAGCACACACCCAGCATGTGTGAGGCCCTGGGTTTAATCCTCAGCACCACATAAAAATACCTAAATAAAATTAAGATATTAAAAAAAAGAAAAGAAAAAAGAAATCAGAGACGCTCAACAGAAAGCCAAATTAAAAAGTGGAATGGCAGAAGTTATCCTCCATCTTCCATCCTGCTTCTTTTCTCCTTTTAAAACTAACTTCCAAGCCGCAGACAGGTGGCTTCCCAATACATTTCTCAGCATTCTCCACAGCCGGATGTGAAAGTGTGGCTGATTCTTGCCAAGCAGCATGACAAGCAGTAATGCAGTCCATCTACCTTCCTTACCCTCTGTTGCTGGCCACTGTGCAATCAAGAGCTGCTGAGACCTCTCGTGAGAAGTCACCTGACAAAAAAACAAAACTACCCCCACTAGCCTTGGACTACTACTTTTGGGCCACCAAATGAAGGAGAAAAGGTTCTCTCTAGACTCGGGGTATATCAGTTGAGTTTCATTTTTCAAATCAGAAGCATTCTGAATTTAATAGCAAAAGGGTATCTCATACAGAACATGATGCTTCCAATATCAGAGAAAGGGAAGAAATTCATGACTAAACCTCCAAAAATACTCTCAGAATGTTAATGAAACAACTCTCCAGGGAAATACCACTATATGACCCAATGAAGTTGACCACTGCCCAAAAGGTAGAGGAGCAGCAGTAGCTTAGGGCGTGCAAGGGCATCTGCCAGCAAACACCACAGGAAGAAGACAGCTCCTCTTCTCCTGCCTTCCAAACTCCTGTGAGCACAGTCAACCATGAAAACTGATTTCCATACCTTCCAGGCCTCCAGGATACAGGAGGCTAGTCCTCAAGTTCCCAGGGAACACAGGCTGGATGGTGAATGGAGTGAAGCAGACCCTATAGCTTAGACGACATGGGAACTGACATAATTTATGCTCAGGTTAATTAAGCCAAGGTGGTTTAA